CCCGGCCCGCCCCGACCCGGCCCGCTGGTATTTAAATTCGCCCCGGCCCGAGCCCGACCAATTAACTTGATTTGCAGGCCCGAGCCCGAAGCAAACCCGACATTTCATTTTATTTGTGATGACTCGGGAGGAGGAAGGGTGATTTGTGATAACAAATTAAAGCCTGTCTTTTGTCACGAAATCTAAGTCTGTGTAAATATTTACATCTTTTCAACATTTATTTCTGTTTCTGCAGAGGGTACATTAACCGACAATTTTCCTTCATTGACGGATTTTTTTTTAAGAGTTGTAGGAAAAATTAAAGGCCGTCCGTCATTTTGACGGTTTGAAAATTGGGCCATTAACCACAGCAGCAGTACGTCCTTAAGAATCTAGCGCGACACTTTAAGAGAGAAGCAGAGAGACAAAGAAAAACAATGACGGCTGGATAATATACAGAGACAGGAAGGAGTTCTTTGAATTGTCATTGCAAGAGTTTCGTACAGTACGTGTTGTGATGAGGCGACTTGTGTTTTTTTGCGAACCACGGTCTCTCGTGGCCAAAAAACTATTACGGCCTCGAAACGAAAAAAAAAAAAAGTCAGCGAGAGAGAAGCCCGGCCCGACCCAACCCGAACCCTAAGCAATCATTGACATTTTAGGCCCAACCCGAGCCGAATGTCGGGTCGGGTCGGGTCGGGCTCGGGCCGGCCGATCTTACCTCTACTCCCCAGGCCAAAGTGAACCCCTGCCACGAAGAATAAAAATAAAAATAGCGGTAGCACAAAGAAGCAAAATAAAAAATAGCGGTAAAAAGGAAAAGAGAAGAAAATAATAGAAGAGATAACAGAAAATGGAGAGACGTAGTGGGTCAAAGATCGGTCAGGTTAACCGGCAGCTGAGAAGTTATGATGTAATTTACATTACATTTTAGATTTGAATGAGTCAAAATAACATGCCTTTTCTCTCGAATATACTGTTATAATCATTTGTTTCAGATGTACTGTAATTATTTTCTGTATAAAAATTAATTTGGTGTTTATATTCGGGCCAATACGGTGATATGAGAGCCATTTGATAAATAAGGTGAATTTTTCGGTATAAGGAATTCTAATATAGATAAGAGGCTTACTTAAAAAAAATAAAATAAACAGTCTCCCAGCACTGTCACACACTTTTTCCATCTGTGCACAAGCTTCCATATTCCCTCAGTGTAAAAATCTTTGGACTGATGTCTCAGCCAGTCGCTCGCAACACTTTCGACTTCGTCGCTTTCAAACTTTGTGCCGCTTGTGAATGCTTTTAAGGGACCAAACAGGTGAAAGTGTGAAGGGGTAAGGTCTGGAGCCTGAAGGGGGATGAGGGAGCAGTTCCCAGCCCTGCTCGTTGACGGTTTGCACCATTTGGGCTGCTGTGTGAGGCCTGGCGTTGTCATGATGCAAGATTACTCCTCCTGACTGATGACCCCTGCGTTTGTCCTTGATGTCTTTCTTGACCTGCCTCAGCAGGTCACACTAGTTGGCACCAAGTTTGAAAATAAGCTTCTGTTTTACAAGTCCTTACACCGAAAAATTCACCTTACTTATTGAATGACCCTTGAACTCCTTGGTTATCACATTTAATTGAATTGTGGGAGGCTTGGGTATTCTAAGGCTTTTTTTTAAACTTGATACTCACCTAAAATACCCTCAATTGCATCAAACTGAATCAACTTAATGTTGGACATTCTAACATCAGCTCCTGTCGACACAATAAATGAGTCTCCAGTATACTTCTTCTCGATCACCACCTCATCAGGGAGTCCAAATCCTGGGAGACATAAGAATTAGATTAAAGCAACATTGTAAGTATACGCCCATTGTAAGACTAACCCATGTATATACCGGTACAGTGCATCTGGAAAGGAGTAAACAGCACTTCACTTTTTTTCACATTTTGTTATGTTATAGTGTTAATGGAATAAATCTAGTGTTTTCCTCAAGGTGCAAAGCCCCACCCAACCTTGACAAAACATTTTTGAAATGTTTGCAAATTTCTTCTCGAAAACAATAAAAAGGTTGTTCTGTTGACCTCATCAAACAGTGACATTAATGTCTTGCTGGAGCAGTTCGCAACACCTTGATGTCGGAAGACCGTGGTCCTCAGGTGGAAAAGCAAAGCCCTCCATTTCCAGGTCAATCTAGGTTCTGCTGATTAGGAGCTTTGGATAATAGTGACTAAAAAAACAAGATCATGGAGAGGAGTGGCCAAAACGGTTTTACCCCGCTTAGTGTTATAGCTGTCACATAAGAGATAGGTGCGAGAAGCTCGGTCATCCATAAAGGCCTGAGAGCGGAGCCTCTGCTCCTCCTCACTGAGAGGAGCCAGATGAGTGAATTCTGGCATCTGGTTGAGTTACTTGTTTTTATTTTGCTGTTTTCCACAACTTCATCAACCCCAGTCTGCGTTCAAGAGCACTCTGCAGATGATATTCATCCATGTCTGTAAACATGGCGGAAATCATCTCTCACCATCCTGACTAGTCTCTCAAGTCCTGCTGAAAACCATCCCCCGGGGCCTGATATTGCCGCCATGCTTCACTCTAAAGATGGTATTGACCAAGTGATCAGTGGTTCCTGTCTTTCTCCACAGATGACATCTGGCCTTCACCGCAAACGGGAGTCAAATCATTGTCTCCTCAGACCATCGCCCCCACACCCCATCCAAAGGAGTGGCTTCCCTCTGGCCCCTGTACCATACAGGCCTATTCGCTGCAGAGATGATTGTCCTCCTGGAAAGGGTTCTCCTCTTTCCACAGAGGAACATTGGAGTGACTGGAGTGCAGTGGAACAATGAGTGACCATCGGCCTCACGGTCACCTCACTGCCCAAGTGATCCGTCCTGCCAATTGCTCAATTCGGATGGCTCGCGGTGATTATGAACGTCTTCCGTTAACGGTTGATCGATGCCACTGTGCTCATTGTGATCCTCACGAAAACAGAAACGATTCTGTACTCTTCCCCAGATCTGTGCCTCGAGACTATCCTGTCTGGTCCGTCTACAAATGAATCCTTTGTACATTATGCCTGATGTGTGCTGTTCCAAATCATGTCCAATTACCTGAATTTACCAGAGGTGGACTCCAGTTAAGATGGAGAAACATGTCAACGATGACCAGCTGAAACAGCATGCGCCTGAAGGATTTCCGCGGATCCGCGGAAAATTGCCATGTATGACAGAGGAACATTGGAGTGACTGGAGTGCAGTGGAACAATGAGTGACCATCGGCCTCACGGTCACCTCACTGCCCAAGTGATCCGTCCTGCCAATTGCTCAATTCGGATGGCTCGCGGTGATTATGAACGTCTTCCGTTAACGGTTGATCGATGCCACTGTGCTCATTGTGATCCTCACGAAAACAGAAACGATTCTGTACTCTTCCCCAGATCTGTGCCTCGAGACTATCCTGTCTGGTCCGTCTACAAATGAATCCTTTGTACATTATGCCTGATGTGTGCTGTTCCAAATCATGTCCAATTACCTGAATTTACCAGAGGTGGACTCCAGTTAAGATGGAGAAACATGTCAACGATGACCAGCTGAAACAGCATGCGCCTGAGCTCAACTTTGAGCTTCATAGCAATGGCTGTACTGTACAAAGCTCAAAATAACTTGTTTTCTTTGCGGACCAAAATTTGCTTATCAGTGACTTCATTTGAAGAGCAATTTTGGAACTTGGAGGATACATTTTGGACAAGTTGATCACAGGGAAAACCTTTGGGTTTTACTAAACAAAAAAATCCCACAATGTAACGCGGAGGTTGAATGTCGGGCTGCAGCTGTCAAATATTTCAGTATCCTGTCGGCAGTGTTTGTGTTTACAGTTACTTTGGGGGCCCCAAGTAACTAACCACAGCTCTGCACTGAGCCTGTGACATAATATCCACAGAGTGAAGTGAGCTTTAAAGTAAAGTATTTCAGAACATGAGGTAGCTTCTGCGTTATCCCACATAAAAGCCGAATCACTTTTGTCTGACTGAGATGCAAAATGTGAATTTTGACTCACAAATTGCAATGCGAATTCATTTATTTTGAGCCTTGTCTGATATGTGATTTGATCGCCCTAATACATTTGCAAAAATATTTTTTTCAAGCTATGGTGTTGCGTGAAGAATTTTGATATGTATGAGACTCTAACTAAATGTGAGAAAAAAAAGATCTGACAAGATGCACTGTACATGTATCACCCTTATCCTAACATTGCATAATGTATAGTGTATACCCTCAATAGTGATGGAGTCTGGAAGTAGGATGGAGCTGGCAACACTGTACACCCCCGGGAGAACGAAGACCATGTCACCCTCGTGGCACGAATCTACTGCAGACACTGGGTCTCTATGGAACTGTACACACACACACAAACACACGCATGATGACCAAGGCACTCAGCAACAGCAAACTTCTGCCTTGGTGTGGGTTATGTATGTAGTAGAAGTAGCAATCACATAATCACATGATATGTGTGTGATTTGTTTCGTGCAGTTGCCACTGATGGGACCTCTTACAAAGACAAAGAACTGCTTCATATTGCTTCAAAATACTTTGTATTGATTTACCGTATTTTTCGGACTATAAATTGCAGTTTTTTCATAGTTTGTCCAGGGTTGTGACTTATACTCTGGAGTGACTAATGTGTGAATTATGTGTTGTGTTTATTATTTTACTTGAGGTTAACTGTTTTGTAAAGAGCTTTGTTACAGCTGCAGCTGTGTGAAAACACTATGTAAACCAGGATGTATTGTATTGTAAATTATTAACACATGATTAAATCATTTCACAAGTGATTTTCACATTAAACCGCAAGAGGGCGCTCCAGGTCTGTGTTGATAAATCGACGATTGAGTCTGACGTAAGCGACGTAGAAGAGCAAGCGCAGCATCTTTTACCTCCAGAGTTGGCGGAGCTGTTTAAAAGTGACACCGAGGATGAATATTCCATTGGATTTAGTGACTTGGAGTGACAATGATGGCTTGGTAAACTTGTTAGCATGTTCTTTATGCTATAGTTACCTGAATAAATCTTAATATGTTATGTGAACATACCAGGCACGTTCTCATTTCTTTGTTTATGCGTCATGTAACATTAGCATGTCATACACTCATTCAGCCTGTTTTCTATGTTATTTTTATTTTAAATTGCCTTTAAAGATGACATGTCTGTTCTTGGTGTTGGGATTTTATCATATGAATTTCCCCCAAAAATGCGACCGATCCTCCAGTGCGACTTACCAGAAGATGTTTTTTTTTTGTTTATTATGCATTTTATGGCTAGTGCTACATATACTCCAGAGCGAGTATATGTAGAGTTGTGCCTTAGAATACAACTTCAATTTGTTCCGTGACCACGCTCGTAACTCAAATCATTGTTATCGCAAATACTCTTTCCTTATTGAAATGAATGAAAATGCCATTATTGTTTGACAGCCTCTCCACTGCCCAAATAAAGAAAAACAAGATCAATTTGTGTAATGTCATTTTTTATGAAAAAAAAAGCACCCTGTACAGTCATGCCTTGGTTTTCGACCATAATCCGTTCCAGAAGGCTGTTTGAAAAGCGATATGTTCGAAATCCGAAACTATTTTGTTACCCATGATTAGGGGTTAATACACTATGGAGAAATAACAAAAAAAAAAAAAAAAGTCTGATTTGCGTAAATCACAACAAACACGTCTGCTCACAATGAATGGTACACGAGGAAGCGTCACTTCCTTGTGTAAGGAAGCCGAGAGGATTCGAGTGGCGTATTCCGGTTTGCTCAGTTTGGTCGAAAACCGGTTTTCAGTCGTAATCCGAAGCGTAAAAATCTAGAATTTTTTTGGCCAAAATCCGATTTGGTCGATAACAGACGTTTGAAAATCGAAGTTTGACTGTATTATTGCATCGGCATAATCTAGCGAGGTGTCGTCAACGTGCGCAACAAACATTAAAATACTACTGTGCGGCAGTGCGAAGTGGGTACCTGGACTTCACTGTCCTCTGAAGAAAACTGATGTAGAAGCTTGTCGCTGAGGAGGGAATGGAGCTGATTTGTGGTGCAAGAGGACGTGACCACATGTGCAACCTTGGTGCCGGACTCTCTCAGCCCACGACTTTGGATGGACTGATGTCGGGGATTATCTTTGTAGCCCAGCACATACCTGGAGTTTAAAAAGAGGTTGTGGATTCAAAGATGAGATAGAGGCTAACTGGGAAACCTTTCAAGTGAAACATTTCTCTTGCCGTAACAATGGGTTCTCAATGAAGTACAACTTCCGTTTGAATTCTTCCAGCTGTTCACAGAGCTTCAGGCCCTCCACCATGGATATATTATCCAGCTCTGAGTCAGAGTCACTACTGAGGCTGCTGCGTAGCAGTGAAAACTGCTGAAAGCACCGTGTACATTTTTCTAACACGAGCTTGTATTCTGCCACCAGACCTGCTGGGACTCTCTCCTCCAAGATGTCATAGTGTCTGAAGTAAGAAACACATTTAAATCAGGTTCATAAATAGTACAACATTTTGTTATCATTGACATGACAGGCTGCCCTTACAATCTAAGGCGAGGCTCGACACAACGGACAAAGTAGTCAAAGTCATCATCTTCATCTTCTTCATCCCACAGTCTCCAGACATGCTTGTAGAAAAATCTGAAAACACAGTGGCAAGCGTGTACATGCAAATACAACACAACATACCATAAACAACACAGATGATGAAACCCCTAAATTCCTTGTAGATTTAGAAAGCGTTCCTCCCAAGCTGTTGGGCTATTTGCTCACGCATTTAAAAGTACCTCACAAATCAAAGAGGGCATGCTAGCAGACCGATTTTTCCCAAAATACTTTATTGCTTTTGCACCAGTGCTTCAATTATTTTTGTTATTACACCCCCCTCTGCCTCGAAAGAAGAACACTGTAGTGAATGTACAATTCAACACTGTTCCCCACTCCCCAGCATTGTTTTAAACACATGGTTCAACACAATAAATTGGGTAAAGCCATACCTGAGATGTTCAATGCCCAAGGCGGTCTGGTCGTAGTCTCCTGACTCTTCATAGACAACCTTAAGTTCCATTAGGGGGACGTTGTGCTGGGTTGCCTCCAACAGCTCTGCCACGCCTTGCTCATTAATTTCACATCCTCTGACCTCACACTGCAGAGGAAGCACAGGCTTCACGCAAGCCTTCAGATCGCTGAAGTCCACATCACACACCTGAAATAATGTACATCTACTGGTTAGTTTGAATATACCTGTAATTAAGCACACATTTTGAATCAATGTGGGGTTGTCGTATTGCCAAGGTGCAAGTGAAGCAATGGGGTGTTTATGTAATGCAATGCAGAGTTGTTTCGGTTTGTTCATCTCATACAGTACGTTGTCATCTTTGGTGAAAAAGGGAGACAAATGGCTAGTAATGTAACATCATTGTTAAATCAGAATCATAATCATCTTTATTGGCCAAGTATGTAGAACACACAAGGAATTTGTCTCCGGTAGTACAGGCTACAACTGCGAAACATTTTCTACTGCACAAAACACAGTGGCGTTCCATTAGGGCCTTCAAGGCCTTCTCTGCAGGCGCAAAGCCTTTCAGTAACACAGACCTACATTTACAACTTAAAGTAGAAATAATGTATTTCCAACAGTCTTTTGTCTTCATTTCATTGTGTAAGTCCTTTGTCACAGAGCTTCCAGTCCTTTGTGTGTGTGTGTGTGTGTGTGTGTGTGTGTGTGTGTGTGTGCGCGCGCGTGTGCGGTGGGGGGTCCCCAATCAGATTTGCTTTGATGTGTTGCCACCATGCACATATTTCGTCCAACACCTCGAGTGCAGACGTGGCACGCACGCACGCGCGTGCACGCGCACACACTACCGAAATCACCGTTTCTTCTTTTAGCCAATCAGATTGTAGATTCTCCCCCGGAAAGCCATCCGACAGGCCCCGTGAGGAGTGAGTTCATCTGTCCTCTCTTTGGTTCAACTACTATCGCTTTTGATTGGTTCAGCTCTATGAGCGGCCCAAGCATGTTTTTGGATAGAGGACGATATCGGACTATGATTAAAAATTCACTTTGGGTGAGAGTGCTATATAAAAAAAACACGATTTGCAAATCATTGCACCGTATTTTCCGCATTATAGGTTGCACCAAAAAGTCTTCAATTTTCTTAAAAGCTCACCGAGCGCCTTAAAATCCGGTGCGTCTTTTGTATGGTCATTACGGTAATACGTCGACTCCAAGATGGCTCCTTCTTGGAGAATTTGCTTCCAATGTTATAACTTGCTTTTGGTTCAGTGAACTGTGTCGCTGCTTTATTAAATAAGTTTTTGTTGCAGCTCCGAAAAAAGGAGTTAAAACAGTCTCAACAAATACAGGCACGTCTCTGCCTGTCTCCGTGCCTTCTTCCGTTCGACCCGAGAGGCGTTTAAGACCGCTAATGATTACTTCAATGAAACTACGAAAATTGAAAATAATACATCAAAATTGAAAAGCAAGCGAGGACATCACAAAATAAATTCTATAGCCCCCCTACAGAATTTATATTGTGATTTCATCATTTGTGAATACACAACAAAGGAATAAATAACTAAGACTGACATCTGATCGTAGTAGTCGTGGCGCTATGATCAAGGTGGTCATGAACGCCTCGAGTTGAACGGAATAAGAGAAGGCACGGAGACGGACAAAGACTCACCGGTATTTGTTGAAAAAAAGAGAGCTGTGTTTTTTTTTTTGTTTTTTTTTAACGCAGACTATATTAATGGTTTTCACAGTCTCAACAAATACAGGTACTGTACGTCTTTGTCCGTCTCCGCGCCTTCTTCCGTTCCACTCGAGAGGAGTTCATGACCGCCTCCGAAAAACGTAAATTAATTATTACTTCAATGAAACCACGAAGAAAATCAAGCGAGGAAATCACAAAATAAATTCTGTAGGGGGGATATAGAATTTATTTTGTGATTTCCTCACTTGATTTTCTGTTTTCGTAGTTTCTTTTAAGTACAGTAATAGTTAATTTACGTTTTTCAGAGGCAGTCATGAAAACCACTCAAGTTGAACGGACGCCTCTCGAGTTGAATGGATGGAGCATAGTACCATCTAGTGGAGGCATTGTAGATTGTGCCTTATAATGTGAAGCGTCCAATGTATGAAAAAAATTTACAAAATAGCCATTCATTGAAGGCGCGCCTCATAATCCAGTGCATCTTTTAGTTCGGAAAATACGGTACTTGTTTTGGGCGGCCGAGTGGTCGACTGGTTAGCGCACCAATCTTACAGTGCAGAGGTCGTTGGTTCGATTGACAGCGTTCCTGTGTGGAGTTTGCATGTTCTCCCCATGCCTGCGTGGGTTTTCTCCGGGTACTCTGGTTTCCTCTCACATTCCAAAAACATGCATGGCAGGCTGATTGAACACTAATTTGTCCCTAGGTGTGAGTGTGCGCGCATGTTGTTTGTCTCCGTGTGCCCTGCGATTGGCTGGCAACCGGTTCAGGGTGTCCCACGCCTACTGCCCGAAGACAGCTGGGATAGGCTCCAGCATGCCTCGCAACCCTTCTGAGGATAAAGCGGTTCAGAAAATGGATGGATGGATGTATTCTGTTTCATTGAACACAACGCCCCAACGTGATTGGAATTGGGTTTGTAATATGTCCTTCCAAAACCCTCCTTAAAAAGCAGTTTTTTTGTCTCTATTTGTGCATAATAAATTTGATGCTGACAAACCTATGCTCCACATTTTAGCCCATTTATTAGTAACATAAATGAGTGGGATGAATGTTGACTTTACAATTCAATTTACAGACCGTGTCACTAAATCTACGTGCACCCATAAAATTACAGATTAGAGGCCATTCAGCACTACTGGCATTTACTGAACACGGCAGAATTTCAAAAAAGACAGTATAATGACCCCATCTAGTGGCCGTAATATTATTACACTAACAGACATTTATTTTAACATGAATTCCACACACTCTCATAGTATCTTTGCAAGGAGCAACAATCATAACAACTTTAGGTGACTTTGCAGTATGCAAATGAAAAAAACATGCCCTTTTATGATCATAAATGCCACAAACAGCTCGTGGCCAATGCTAGCGGGTTAATGTGGTGAACTGACGCACAACAATATGGATTAACTGCCGGATAAGAGTACAGAACATGTACTTGCTTTTTGTCATGAAACCAGTGCTGAGATGAACTAAGTAATAAAGAATGAAGGCAATTCAGCTCTTATTTAGCTCAACTGCTGTGACCGCACTCGAAACTGGAAATGAAATGTCTGCAATAACACCAGACAATTTATTATATACATTTTATATTACATAAATTTGTATTGTGAGTCATTAAATATGTTGGAATGCAAGTATGCCGTTTGAAAATAATCTCTACATACTGGTAAACAGCTATTAAATGTGAAAAATTTTCTTTGTTAATACAATAACAGGGGACAAATTAGGATTGCCCTGTTCCCAAAAATTGGGTACAAATGTCGAGAAATTACGGAAACAAATGATTACTATCATAAACTAATACTGGTAACACAGTTAGTGTATCTGTCATAGGTGTTAATCAGTGGAATAATTTCGAAACTGACCTGAAAATGAGTAAATCGCTTGCTGAGTTCAAAAACAAATTCAAGAAAATAGTACAAACAACCTACATCAATCAGAGTTAAGATGAATTCTAAACATTAATTAAATATAATAATAAATTAGAATTAAGTTGATAAATAGAGAAAGGTACTGCAATATCCATTATGAATACAAGAGAAGATTTACATAAGAGTGCCAGGGTGTGTATGTATAAAATCCCGATACAAACCAAAAGTTGTAAAAATATCACGGTTAAGGGTAAAAGCATGAGGCTTTATGGACACTTCTTCTTTCTTTCTTTTCTGATTAATATAAAAATGATCTATTTATATATAAATACATAACTTGGGGTAGGACTAGATAAGTTTTTTACTTCTTCCTACTCCTTTGAACATAATAATTGTGTTGTATGATGACTGATTTCTCTTTCCTTTTTACTATTTTACTTACCTTACTTTCTGTCAATTTATTCCTGTATGTTTTTATGTTCAATACACAATAAACAAACAAACAAAGTTAGTGCTAAACTGTGTCAATGCTCTATTTACTTTATGACATTGTCATGATCGCGATAGGCAGTCACATCAAATTGTTTATTTCATTCTGGAACTTTGACCAGTAAGTCATTGGCTGAGAAACCCAGTGTTAATTACGGGTAGCCCCACTGTTTCAGAACAGTGAGGCAGAAATGCAGAAAGGATTTCTCACAAATATATTTACTAAAAAAGCCCAAACCTACATACAGTATAATGCTATGTGTCCTGGTTTCTATTAATATTCAAATATTGCTCAAATGAAACAATCACTTTCACTTGAAAATAACAGAAAACTACAGGGAATGTCTCACCTCGACCAGAACATCAAACAACTCCGCGGACCACAGAGCTTGCCAACCGAAGGACTGTACCACTTTTTGCAAGTAGTCAGCAGTAAAGGACTTGACCTCTGAAGGCTTGCAGTCACCTAACCATGAACAAGAAAAGAGAAAGAAGGCAGAATAAATATGCACAGAAAAGCAAAAACGTGTGAAATTGTTACTGTATGCCAGAATATTCAAAATAGAAATTGTTGCCTAGGAACAATATGCCACAGTAAAACCCAACACGACAAACCAATGTTCAAATTCAAGAGACTTAAAAACACCACTTACATAAGAGCGAAATCTGGTCAGAATGTGCATGTCCCTTTTCTCAACAGTATAGTTAGAAACTGAGAGTGAGGTTAAACTTTTGTTAGTTGTGCTGAATAGATTGAATTATTATTTGATGACGTCACTTTCTTGCATTTTTTTTCTTTTAACGGAGCCACTAAGATGGACCAAAAATACATAAAATATCTTGCATTAAATCAGAAGAACTGAATAACTAAACACAGGAGATAACTTCAAAATTAAATGCGCCTCCTCAAGAATTGAAGCCAAAAATCAGCAAACCACACTTTTTACATAATGGAAAAACAAATCAAATCACATATTTTCAAATACTGGAATGAATTAACTGTAAATTTTAAAACACCTTTCAAAAATAGATAATTCCGTCCTGAATTTTATTGAACCTTTATTTATCTATTAAGTAAGGCAATTGACAACAGATTCTTAATTGCAATGTCAACACTGCAGAAGACAAATGATGATTCATTGGCTACATTTTGTGTGTGTGTGTTGCTCACAGCAAAGTTAAGTCACATTCTTCTTCTGAAATGTTGTTTGTTTGGTCTTTCGGGTTAGAGATATGTCGCAGTTTTTCCCTAACCTTCCTCTGGGTCTACAGTGAGCTCCTCACCGATGACCAAGCTTCTCACCCTATCTCTGAAAGTGCAAGACACCCTGCAGAAGAAACTAATTTTAGACAGAATCCACCCTTTGAGGTCTCCCATTGCTCACTTTTCTTCTGCTCGTTCACTTCCAAGTTTTCGAAATCTACTTTCGTCGTCTTTTAGGACATGTAGGAATAGAGTAAAAATGCTCACCCCTTCCCATCTCCTTGTTTGTTCTGACACTCTGAACCACAACAACAACTGTTACATAGAAAGGCTGTTCTTCGAATAGCGTATTCCTGCCAAGATGGCGGTGCTTTGATTTTGCATGCTGAATGCTGGAATGCGTGACATAATCTCATTGACTTTCTCATGCATATGAAAAGCATGTTTCATTTATCTTTGCCCATGTCCCTTAATGGGTTCCCATGTGTACGTACAACTATAAAAACATACACAAAGTGTCTATGTATAAAAAACTAAACAAAAATACGAACAACACTTTGCTGCCATTTTCATGCGTTGAACTCACAAGATACATAACATTTTCTATGTACACAGAGGCCTTTTTTTCTCTAATACTATTCACAAATCTACCTGTGATACTGAGCATATTTATTGCAGAGTTGTGCCTGAGGCTGCCAAAACAAAATAGACCACTACAACATGGGGTTTTGCTCTATTTTGGATTATGTGTGCAAGGGGTGAGAAGAGCATTCTGTATCTGGTGTGACCGACACTGACCTTAAGTAGTGCAACGCATCTGTGATACCATTCATCACACAGTTACAGTATAAAAACGCATAGCCCATGTTGTAAAGATCTGTAAAAATTAAACAAAATTGTAGAAGTTGAAAAATACCCCAGTTCTTACACAGCCAGCATACTCAAGACTCATTCTGAGTACTCGATCCATGCACCGCACCACACTGCCCCTGCCCCTATGAGGCCAATATGCATAGGAACAGCAGTTATTTGCTTTTGTTTTTTTTCCACTTATTATTGTACTGTATTATACTTTTATTTACCTTCTTCCTCATTTATTTTCTTATTGTTCTTTTAAGTTATATTTAAACTTGAGTTTTCAAATATTTTTTCTTTCCTCGAAATTCAAGAATACAAAGTTCCAAGGACTTTTTTGTGTCATACCAACACACATTTCCACATGACACGTCACAAAATACAATTCTCGAAATCCCAGGCAAGCGCATTAAGTCACAAGACTTGTGAAATTCTCGAAATCCCAGGCAAGCGCATTAAGTCACAAGACTTGTGAAATTAACACATATTGTAATGTATAAGATATGATAACATGATATGAGTAATGCTTCAATGTGTGCAAAGATCCAAAGCATCAAAGGTGTGACGTTGATGTCGGAGAACCAAAATGCATGAAGCCTGAATTTCACAAGATATTTACAAGGTAATTTTGTACTTCACAAACAACAGTGTTCAACATGCAAGGATGAATGGGCATGAAATCACGAAGTAAGTGCATTGCATTGGTTACACCTGCTGTGTCATGATACTGATGAGCTACGTTTGCCAAGTTTGTTTCCTTCGGGTATCCATAGCAGGAAGATGGCGGCGAAACATGGCGGCTTCCTGCAGGTGAGGCACACCTTACGTAATTAGCAATTACGTCACCTATGACCGTATTAAAAAATGTTAATGATCTGATAGGGGATATTTTGTATATATTATTTAAAGTAATTGTGGGTTTTTGAAATAATGAACGTTGAAAATCCAAAAATTTTTACACAGTCCTTTTGATGTTAACATATACTATTCATGCTTCACATTAAATTTACATTTGACATTTGTGACCAACCAAAACATTCAAATATAGAATATAAGTATATGATTTTAATTTAAACAGACTTTGTCGATTGTTTTGATGTGGAGTTTTGAGACATTTTATGACCAATTTATTAAAAAAAGGGGCACACAATTCACACCGAGCCATTCATTGAGCTGTTCTTATTCTTACCTAGAATGTAGTCCTGGTAGGCTTTGAATCTTTCATAAAACAGGAGATGGTTTGTTTGGAATGTGTCTGGTAAACTTGAATTGATTCCTCCACTGTGCTCAGATCTCTGAAGCTGGGTTCCTGCCTTATCAGCCTTTAAGTTGTCTGTGCCACTGTCCTCGTCGTCGTAGTCACTTTCATCTTCATCATCATCACTTGCATCATTTGCTTTATCTTCATTTTGGAAGAGAGCTGCGGCATTGAAAAATATCATGGAATAGCCGATGAAAGACAATAAAACAGCGTGGGTATCTGTATGTGTGCGTCTATAGATCACTCCAAAAATATTAAAGACTGTCATATTACCAATGAAAACGAAGTCAAGACGGAGCACATACCTTGAGTTACATGATGCGTACTGTGTTCCGCAATGCTGTGACTTTCATCACCGATTTCACCTTTGAGGGGCGATTCCAAGTCTAAAACGATGACGTTTTTCTTCTTGCTTCTATCCAACATTCTTCCACCAGATTGGTAATCATTTATTTCTTGCGCCATTGAGATTTTCCACGACACGAAACAAGGCACTTCGGTTGAGATTGTTTAGCTAGTGAAAGGGACCAACGCCCACACAGACCAACTTTCAAAATTTTCCCGGTTTGCAGTCAACGAGACATTTGCATTTCAACAGCGACTCTTCTATTATTACATTACTGCCACCTTCTGAACTGGAATGCGAACGACGAGACGACTCTCTCTTCCTCTTTTGAGCTTGTGCGTCATAGATATCAAAACTAGTCGAACAAGCTTTACTGTGAAAAGGTACATAAACATCACCGCCATATTGAATGTGGAAAGTGACGCGATCGGTATGGAAGTAGCAGCAGCTTTCCTCTCAAAACTCGATCTCATTGGAAAAAGACTGAACAATGACTTTTGAACGTTTTTCCTCAAATATAGCACCATTTTGCCAATTCAAATGAATGTCTTTGAGCTACTGCTAATCCTATGAAGTCACCCCCTGGTCCTCTGTGGTGATTTGGAGTGGTTTAACCTGTTTGACCTCAAAAGTGTAATGTTCACCAATTGACATGTACCTGAATGTGGTTATTCCGTATGTGGTAATTTCTGTGTTTCAATTGTCTCTCAAGTGGGACTTTTATTTTAATGAACCATTTTTTTCCCCCCAAATAAGCTTGCATTTTTTGTAACTCTAGGCCCATTTGTTTGTGAATTTCTCTGGCCTTTATAGGTCACATTAATGATGTCAAATGTTTCATAATGTGTAATCTGGATCTAAATAAAAGTTGGCATTTGAACAGGAGTGTGTTGACGTTGTGTGTGTCTATATATATATATATATATATATATATATATATTGGCTGGTATATGTACACACACACACACACACACACACACACACACACACACACACACACACACACACACACACACACACACAG